TGGCTAATGCATTCATAAAAATTGCTTAATCAAGTAATTTTCTAATCAGAATCAATAAAATTAGTAAATAAAATAAAATAGACAAGTAACTACTTTAGTTTATTCAAGTCATTGCACAAAATATTATGTTATTAAAAAAAAATTATTTTTTTTTTAGTTTGGCAATATAGTGAAATTAGTATTTGCACTGTGAAAGATATACACCAATCCAAACAGAATCTCCTTAGACAGATTTCAAACGAAACGAAACATACTTAAGGATACGAAGATTCAACTTTAACACTTGACGTTATCATTCCTTTCGTCTTCATAGGTTACATCGAAAAGGGTGTAACCAGCAATAAAAGATATCTGCTTGGTGTGCAATATGCCGTCTCATTTGTATACTATAGTACAGAACATCACAAATCCTATATATGTGTACTTTGGCATAAAAACTCAGCTATTTATTAAGACATGAAACATTTTTTTAGACGTTTTGATTATCGAGCTATTTTTTAGACTTCAGCTGATACTTCGCTTTTCAATGCTATCATAACGACAAAATAATTGAATCGTAAGACTTGCTAAATAAATTCATTATAATTGTTCATTTATGGATTTCTATTTTATATTACAATAAAGTTATTTTTATATTAACAGATTTATTTTTCGAAAGTAAAGAGAAGCCATTGCAAGTCGTATATATTGCCCGAGTCGAGAATATGATATTTAAAGCTTTGATTCATGCATCTATCCCATTGTTGGTGTTATAAATGACACCAAGGCTAAGTTCATATTCAGTTTAATTCCCCATTTAACCAAAACATTTTATGATATTATATTATTTTTAATTAATACATTGGTATATTTCATGCATTTTAGGGATGGTGATAGCATATCCTGGTCTAAATTTGTCAAATTATTTAATTGAGGCAATTTTTTTACTTTTTTTCATTAACCAGTTAGCAGGATTAATGACAGTATCCCTAATTCTACTCTGTCAAATGATTTAGTTAAGTCAATATCTTCTGTGATTTTACTGTTATTTTTCAATATTACTCGGCGGGTATCGAGATCAAGTTGAACTTTATCAAATGATTTAGTTAAGTCAATATTCAGTGATATATATAATAGCAGCGATTTTGAATTGGTTTATCGGTCTATTTTACGTTTTCTGGTGATGGGGACATCATTCCTAAGTCCTACTCTGTTGAACAATTTCATTATGTCAATATTTTAAATGATTGCGTTGTTCTTTTTCAATATTACATCGGTGTGATCAGACGTCCAAGTCTAACTTTTTCGAATAATTTAGTCATATTAATGTTTAACAATACTGTGATGTTACTTTTGATTGTCTCATTAGTCTATTCTACATTTTTGAGGAATGGTAACAGCATTCCTGTATATAAAACACCTATAATTTAAATCAATATATTATACTATAAACTGACAAAAAATTAATATGAACTGACAAAAAAATATTTAGTTTACCAAAACCCAATTTTCAAATTGCTATTTAGATTATATATAGATTAGATTAGATTATATATATATATAGATTGGATTGCAATAGTATTGTGATGACTTGATCACACTGGTATATGTCAAGTCATTTCTGGCGAATCTTTTTTGGATAGTACATGATCACTGATTTGTGATCCGTTATGCTCAGTGAGTTTAAAAAAAGGAATCATATAAAGTTTTAATACATCAATAAAATAACATGGCAGTATTTATATCACCTAATGACAGTAGCATTTTCTTGCTGCCTTATAATCACAGGTAAAGTATTAATGATATACCTTTCTATTCTCACGTCGGAATTTTCCTAGTAAGACAATATGCTTAGTTTTCGAGATAACTATAGTCAAAGACATTGCAAAGGTTTTAAACCCATCGTGCTTTACGCTATATGCCAATAGGAACAAGAGCTTCTGAATGACAACGTATATATTTAATAAACTATACTGAAGATGACAGTTCTCAAGAGTTATTGAGAAACTGAAGAAATATGAAAAACAAAGAATAAGAAAAAATGAAACGAAGAGTGTTAAAAGCCAGAATTTACCCTGACTAAAAAATCTATAAGATGTTGAATATGAACGTAACATATTTCGTCTCCAGATTACAATGACCCAAATAGAAATATTTAAGCATTTTATTTAGTACCCTTATAACTTTAAAACATTAAACTCTTGACTTCATGTCATAA